GGGAATGAGAAAACTCTACCTGGAAAATCTGGGAGGTGGAACAGTGATAGCCTCGTTGTGATGGGAGGGAAAACACCTCTAGCAGATCCAGCTCCGTGACAGATTATGCTTACCTGCATGTGAGTGAGCTCATGGCGTGTGTGGTGCTGTGCCCTCTCAGGGAGTCTGCTAGCCGATGAGCACACCGTGAAGCTCAGCGTCTCAGTTGCACCAGGCTCCCCTGCTGTGTTGGATGTTTACATTGCTTCCACCTATCTGCAGCATCTCTGGGGTTTGCTACCTGGAGCCACGATCCTCTTCCAGAACTTGGAACGCAAAATCTCAAGGTACCTCTGTCTTTAGAGCCCTGATCTAGGCTGCTGACCTCTCTTACTGTCTTTGAAACCATTTCTTAATCTCTCCTCTTATGAGAACTTGCTTTATTCTTTGTCCATACCTTCATGTATCCCAATCCCTTACTACAAATTATTTTCCTACCGTGTTACAGATGATCAGCCCAGCCATCTCAAGAAAATTGAGAGGTTTGGCTTCTACAAGCTCTTTCTGACATCTGCTCTTTCATATTGCAGATTCTGTAACGTTTATTGCATCTACATTGCCTCCAGCTGTGTGAGCATCATATCTCTGCCAGCTTCTCCCCTACCTTTTCCTTCCAGGTGAGTTCAGCTTCTGTTCCCAACATACAGTGTCCTAAGAAAGGTTTCTGTATTCCAAGCTTATCACATTCCTGTTTCTTCTAGTCCTGCAGGAGAAAACTCTTCCCCCTCACTAGTGTTTCTATCCAGCCTGCAATGTCACCTGCAAAGCCTGTCCCAGGCACGGATTTTATGCCACTTGTCCTGTGTGCTGACGCTGTCCTTGCAGTGGGTTTGCTCACTTTGCAACAGCATCTTCAAAGAGGTATTCAAGCTTCTACAGGGATAATTTGTGAGGAGCTTTGCAGACTTTCTACTCTGACACATCCTTTGCTACCATGTAGGGAAAAAAAACAAGAGTTCCTGTCCCAATTCCAAACCCTCTTTTTCCAGTGTCTGAAAAGGTTTTGCATATTAAAAAGGGACCAGAGTGGCAACTGATTAGAAGCATGTATCTCATGACAGGCAGGCTGGCAGCTGAAGTGAGGATACTGCAGGGGAGAATCCTGCTCTGTTAATGCTGTGCTTTTCCCATGTTCACTGCTGTTAGGGTTCAGCAGTTTGCAGCACATGATTTTTGTCTCCATATAAACCTTTCCCAAGACTCTCATTGGAAATACAGTAAAGTTTCTTAATCCTTTGCATATGTAATTAAGGGAGGGCTAAAAGAAGCAGTGTCCCTTCCCTTCTCTCTGTTATACCCCTCCCTATACATAGCTGTAGCTTTACTCTTCCTTCAGGGGAGGTGCACCCGACACAGTCCACCATGTCCATCACACACTGGAGTGAGGCAAGCCAGTGCACGGTAAGCACTGTAGAGCTTGGGTATGGGAAGAGGTGTGTAGGAGGGAACAAATTACACTACAGAGGGGAGAGGAAAATCAGATCAAGGATGAGATGTGGACAGAATAGCAAAGATGGACGGTAGAGTTGTCATGTCTTCCCAGATGTGACCAAAACTCCCACTCTCTTTACTGAGATCCATTGTCTGGGACATGACCCTTGTGAAGCCATTGTCCTGACCTCCTCCATATCTTGGTCTGCCTGCTCTCTCCTTAGGGTGGTGGTGGAGGATGGAACAGGCGATGCTTTGGTGCTGTGCCGGAACCAGCACGTGGCGGCAATGCTGGGCCTGAGCCTTCTCGAGTGGGAAGCGCTGCAGAACTGCGTGCAGAGCAGGGGCAGTGTGTCCATTCAGCATGGGGAAGCTACCGGCACAGGGGTGAGTGGGTTATTCCAGTAGCAATAGCAGTGTGCTGGGCTTGAGCCTCGGGTGAACTGGGTTTCCCTTTGCTGTAGATGTTCCAGAGGCTCCCTGCCTCCTTCTGCACATTAACTGGCAACACACCCTTTCCTTCCTCAGTGTGTAGAGGAACCTGAGGATCTCATTGCCTGCTACCTAAGGAGCCTGTGCAGGAGTCCTCTCATCTGTCGCCCTATTCTGCTGGATTTCAGCCTAGACAGGAAGCCCTCTAAGATCCTGCAGCCTGGTAAGCAAGCACTGTTGGCTTTAACCTGGGACGGAAGGGAGGAGGCATCTCATCAGGCTGGGGAAGGAGAGTTGCCACAAAGCGAGGTCTGTGGAGGATTTCCATGGAATTGTGAACACTGTAGTGTAGAGCTAAGATGTGTCTTAGCAGAACCATGGTTACAAAAATACAGAAATAATATAAAAGTCACTATCTGCAACGGTATTATATATGATTTTTTTTTTCTACTTTACACAGAAACATAGAGCTGGTTTAGAGCAAGGTTCCCTGTCCATGGATGGGAAGGGATTCTGGCCAGCCAGTTACTGCGCAGCCCTCTCAAATCAAGCAGGTTTTAACTTTAGGCAGGACAGCACGTAGTGTCAAGAGTGGGCCTGGAAATCCTCACCATGGCCACAGAATTCAAAGTGCTGAGAAGTTTTGAATCCATAGATGCTGATGTCTGAGCTCATGCTGCCATAACTGTGCAGTTCCTGTGTTAAGGGACATTTGTCTTAGCCATTTGCTCTAGCACTAACATTTGAGTATGTGTCCCGGCACTGCAGGGGTTGATTTGCTGAGCTAACCAGAGAATGTTCTCCTGTGGAGACATTATCTTTTGGCTCTCATTTAACACAGTTTGTAAGGCCAGGTTGCTGATAGTGATAGAAGGTATGAAGCTCAGTGCATCAGCTGTGTGAGCAGCACATAGTTCACAGCATTTCACAATGTAGTATATTTTCCTCCAAGCTGCAGGGGTGCTGGCCAAATGCCTTCATCTGCTTACATCCTGGATTCATTAATCATGCTGTCCTTGGAGGTTCAGCAGATGCCAAGCAGCTGCTGTAAGGCCTTCCTCCCCCAGCAGCTCCTACAGCTGTGTGCTAGAACAGAGCAGGAGCCCTGGGCTGAGTTGTTTAAGTTGTATCTTTCCCCTTCAGATCCACTGCAGCTCAGGAATTTTCGGTGCGATGAAGTGGAATTTGTGTCACAAGTGGGACCTCGGCTGAGCCTGCTGTGCCTGGATGTGAAGGAAGTGGAACAAGACACCTTGAGCTATCTGAACAGCAAGAGGATGAGAAGGACGTCTAGCCACTGCTGAGTGGGAGCCACTGCTTAACATCTCTCCCAGTGGGAGAGGAATTATGGAAATGCCTGCTGGGATTAGGAGTTTCTTTTAATCTCCTTTCTAGTGGGAGCACAGGTCTGTGAGCACAGGGTGAAGGGCGCAGCCAGGAAGCTGCTGTGACTGGAATTCCTGAACAGTCATTCTGGACCATTGCCACCAGCGACGCTGGGTTACGGTTTGGAAGAGAGATGTTGAATGCTTCCTATGTGATAGCCGTTACTTTGGGGCTAAGGCACACAATGTGTGAACTTTATGCAGTAGTATCTACTAAATAAAGCTATTAAAATGACATTTAAATAACACTGTGTCTATCTGTCTTAATATTAAGGGGGCTTTGCTGTAAGAGGAATGAGGTAGAACATAGATCCTTGGTTTATGAGCCAGAGCCAGGCGTTCTGCAGACCAGCTACAGTTGCCACAGGGGAGAGTAGTCTTAACCTAATTGTAATTATTAAACTGCTGGTTTTAAAGCATTTTCTTCCTCAAAAAACAGAGGGGAAGCGAAGAAATTACAGTTTGGAGACTAAATCATGGTACTAAAGCACAGGATTATACAGCCATTGTTTTGCAGCTTAAACAGTGGCCTGAACATTATGTGGGGCTATTAACAAGAGGAAGGCAGTGAGCTGTGATACAAACTCAGTGTGCTACAAACTGGCCCATCTCTTCTTGATGAGGAAGGAGATGACTGCCAGTGCCAGTGTCCATGGTAGCATGCAGCATGTGAGATCACTGTTTGAAGAGATTCCTCCCCTATCTGCTTGCAGTGATGACCCAAGTGTTTTTGGCAAAATAACATCCACATCTTTCATCTCTGTTCTCCAGGCTGGTAAATTGCACCCACAATTACTCCCTGGCCTTATGCATCGTGTAGTGCCAACAGCATCTCTGAACAGCTACTCTGGTTTGGGTTTTGTTTGTTCAGTGCTTCTCCCCTGCCTTTTCTCCCTTCCCTCTTAGTTTGAGCTATATATTAAACTGCAGGCAGTAGGTTTACTGAGCATGTGTAAAGTATCTTCCCTCTCAAGGCTTGCTGGCTGCTTCCAAGACCAAAGCATGAGTGGCACAAGACCTGACAGATGCCACCATTCAACAAAGTTCTGAGATGCCATCCTAAAAGAGGTTGCCAAAACAGAGACTTGTTTAAAAACATATAAGGCAAATTCGTCTCTGTAATTATATCTGGGTTCAATAACTGTGTTTACTTCCGAATTTGAACTTCCCAGTAGTTATCTTACTGGATAGCCTTCCTCTTTTCCTCCTCATGTATGTTAGTCTTCTGTCTGCTGCCACACTTAACTACTGACCCATTCCTCTTTCATGTCACATTACAAATGCAATCATTAGTCCTCACACAGAATTTCAGACACACTGGTAGCCTTTGCCAGGTTGGAAACCTGACGTATTCCAAACCTGTCATCTATTTTCTAACCCATTACTCTCTTGCTATTCACATCTTTTTGAGAAGGGGAGTTCTGAGAAGCTAGATTAACTGGCTCTCTTATTTACAGTTTTATTAGTACATTTAGAGAATCACAAGGCAGGAGGCAGGTGAATCAAATGTGTTTGAGGGGAATTAAGATTTGCTTCCTTTTTACTACTCATGAGTTTGAAGGACCAGTTCTCAGATGTATTGCAGGAAACTCTTTTCATGTTTGTCTTTGAGATTCTGCCCGTGATCAGAGTTCTGGTCACTGGGTTACTACAGACAAGAACGCATCTTGTTCCTGCAATCAGTGTTTTTCCTTTGTTTATGCAAGTCTCTAGCACATCCCTCGCTCTCTTTCCTAAGTCAAAGTATTCTGTTGTTTTCATGGGTAAGAAATAACACAAGGGAAAGTGGATGACTTCATGTTTGTGCTGCTGCATGTTCTGGAAGTGGGAGGAGCTCCTGAAGTTCTCAGCCCAAGAGGGAAGAAAGCATGAAGCGTGTCCTGCCGTCAGGGAAGCTGTTGTAACTCTTCTGTGTGGAAGGACAGAGATGTTCCTTTGGGCTGATTTTCTGTAGCTCTCCATCACCTCTAGAGCCCTCACCCACAGCTGATGTGCTTTGCCTGTCTTCAGTCCTCCTTATTCCAGGACTAGGTGGGATTGCTCAGGCTGGCAACTCCCTCTAGCCCTATTAAAGGTGTTCATAGTAGGTATTACTCCCTGAAGATACTGCACTGTGCAGCAGAGTTGTCTGAGTAAAATGGGTGCAAGCAAAGCTTGTACTGCGGCAGCCTCATGAGAAGAGTGAGAGAAAAGCCCACAGTGCCTCGCAGCCCTGAACAGTAACCAAGGCCCCAAGGGTGCACAGAGCAGCAGGACAGACGTCTATCAGGTTGAGGAGGGAAGAAAAAGACAATGAGGGAACAAGTAAGAGGTGACAATTGATGGTGTACGAGAGCAAGCTATAAGGTTGCAGACAGTGATGGGAGAAGCCATTAGGGAGCCTGTGGGAGGGACAAGCAATGTGTCCCACCTAAAGCTGGGGATGGGGAAATGGTGGGCACAGGGGAAAGACATGATCTCCCATTCTGGCTTGAGATAGGTCTGCTGCTGTAACCAACCTCAGCAAGAAGGTCTACATATACCAAGCATGTATTATGTTTCCCTTTCCAGGCTTACCTCCACATCCAGCTGTGTTTCTGATTGTTTCATGGAGGCTTTATGTCAACAGCAGATACAAGGGAAGCAGAAGCATCCAGTGACAGCTTGGAAGGGAAGAGGACACTGACTCTGTGTCCAGGTTAACCAGCTGCAAGTTGGTCACCCTTGTAATGTTGAAATCTGTAGCAGAAGAATAGTGAGAGGCTACCAGAATGGGGAACACAGCAGGGAGGGCAAAATGAGGGTATTCAATCCTGCCCATTTTTCTGAGGATTGATAAAGATAGATCCTGCCTCTTTTGCTGGATTAACATTCAAAGGAATACATTCTTTTCAGGTGTGTCCTTCCCTCTCATTCCTGGGCAGTTCTGTCCCCGTGCTGATGGAGCAACTATTACCATGAAGAACATCTGATGTAGCAGGACCAAGCACAGACCTGTTCCTTCATCCCAGGGATTAGCCATGGGTTTCAGCCCCTTCCTTGACTGACACAGGTGCTGCAGGAACCCCCAGCACACACAGGCTCACTGCTTAAACTCTTCTCCCCAGTGCTCACGGTATCTGCGTGGCATTCAACCTTACCTGTCACTTTGATGTCGCCTGTAGCCTTGGCAATGCTGTTTTCAATCACGCAGGTATAGGTGGTGTTAGCAGTGATGTTGTGCAGAAAGGAAACCACTTTCAGAGTGATGCTTCCAGCGTTCAGCTCATAGCTGGTGTTGGACACGTGAGGCAGGTACTCCCCAGCATCGCTGTAGGCTGTCCAGCGCACCGTGGGTTGAGGGAACCAGCGCGGGGCTTCGCATTGCACCGTGTCCCCACTGCTGCTGCTTTCCACGTGGACCCTGGGGGTGCTGAAGGCTTTGGGAGGGAAAAAGGCAAATATCCAGGAACTGGGCATGAAACACTCACCTGCACCTGCTGGTCAGTCCCAGGTGTTTCTGGGCTACTCGCTGCTCAGCATTGTAGCACCGCACGTAGCCACACCGAACACAAAGGATTGTACAGGTTGGGCTACAGGGGATAACTGCATGGGATCGACCTGGGACGCCTAGAACAAGATAGTGCAGTTTGATGAGACCTGCTGAGGTTGTGGCATGGCTTTAGTGGCTTTGAATGACTGTACTTAACTGTTAGAAGCTGGTTCCTGGACTAATAAACCAAGCATTTCCCAAGAGCTCCTGGACTCAAGACCTGGGCAGCCTGAGACTGCCAGTGCCTGCTGAATGACCCGGCTTCCCCAAGCAGAAGCCACAGCTGGCACAACTCCACTCACCTCTGCTGGAGACTACAGGCTGACAGGAGCCTGACCAACACCTGTGGTTTCATGGGATCATAGAACCATTTAGGTTGGAAAAGACCTTTAAGCTCATCAAATCCAACCATTCCCCAGCAGTGCCAAGGCCACCACTCACCCATGTCACTGAGGGCCTCGTCTCCACAGTGTGTGAACACTTCCAGGGATGGGGATTCCAGCACTGCCCTAGGCAGCTTGTTCCAGTGCCTGAGCACCCTCTGGGAAAGGAATTGTTCCTCATCTCCATCTAAACCTGCCCTGCTGCAGCTTGAGCCTGTTTCCTCTTGTCCTATCCCTTGTTCCTTGGGAGCAGAAACCAGCCCCCTCCTGGCTTCATCCTCCTGTCAGTGGGAACACATTGCTTTGTGCCAGCACTGAACATAGTGACCAGACCCACCGGATTCAGGAGAATTAAGCATCCACAATTGAAGATTTGTCTGTGCCTGGGCATGTTTTGTGGTTTAATCCTAACAAGGCTAGCAAATTACTCTTAATGCTAGCAAATATGGAGTATTTCAGATAACTCTGATACATCATGTTTAAATACTTTTTTTTAAACTGAATACTTTGTAAAACAGAGAAAACATGCATTAAAAAGGCTACAGTTGTTGCTGTGCATCACTTCTCCTGGCTGGATATATATCTTGATTCTAGAGAGAAAAAGCTATTGTGTTATCTCTAGCACGTATAAAATCAGGATCTTTAGAAGCTCAACTAGCTAATCCCATTCTTAGGGTCTCTTTGTAGTCAGTTACGGACAACTGAGAGCACTGCAATACTAATAGTTTCTGGAACGAGGGTGTCAAAAGAGCAGGTAAAGCCATGACCACTTCTGTAAAAGCCAAAATACTACCCTAGTCCTGCTCAGGAGCGCAGGGCCCGATGGTGACTGCCGGAGGGGTGCCAGCACCAGCATAACTACACGTGGGTCCAGCCAAGCCACGCCAACACGTGCTTTGCCCCAGGATGGAATCCCTGGCACCCCTCACCTCCTGTCCTGTAGCGCAGCAGCGCTGCCCCGCTCCCGCTGGCCGTGGTGACGGAGCACCGGTAAACGCCGGCATCAGAGAGCCGCACATCCCGCAGTTCCAGGGAGGCATTGCCGCCCATCACCTGCTCCATGAACAGGGCCGTGCGGCCCCGGAACGGCGCAGCTTGCTCCTGCAGCTGGTCCTGGCCACCTCGGAACTCATGAACCAGCCCGGCTGCTCCCGCCTTGTCCCACCGGATCGCTATGCTGCCCAGCCGGATGTCGGGCTGGAAAGCGCAGCCCAGGACGCCGCGCTGGCCGATGATCCCCGGAGATGGGAGAGCTGTCACACGAATGGAGCGCTGTCCTGCAAGGGGAAAGCAAGGCGGTGTGAGGAAGGTGAGGTGGGAAGGGCAGAGAAAGGCCAGACCACCCTGAGGCTGTCGTGCGCCAGCCCCGAGGCTGGACAGACAAGGACACCACCAGCAGGTACCAGTGCCGCTAGCAGAGGTCACCTCCTATGGCTTCTATACCAAAATGAAGCACAGGAACATTCCTTTAGCAAGCACTATGCTTCAAAAAGTAGCTCCTCTTATTTGAGAAGATTTTGCATGCTGTTTTCTTGCTTGATTGCATAGATCAGGGATTTTTCTCTTTGCAGCTTCCAAAAGAGTGAGATTTTTGTGTCTTTTCTCAGTCAGGACCTCCCTCTCTGCAGTATAAATGTGACTGCAGGGCGTAATGCTGGCAGAGAAACAAGAGGCTGCTCTTTCATTCTTACTGGAATCCAAACCAGTTTCTCTCATTTAAGAAAAGTCAGCATTTCCCTTCCCTGGGGACACTTCCCAAGTCAAATCCTAACCAGCAAACTGCAGAATAAATTCTTTCCCAGAGCTGACTCCTTTTTCCCGTGCAACCCTTCCCTACACGTACTTGCTCAGCACACCCCAAGGAGGCTGCTAACGCCAAAGCAACACATTGCTGGGGGAGCAGGGGAATGTCCCCATCCTGGCAGATGCTGCCCAACTTCCCGAGAAATACCACTGTCTCCTCTCTGGGAGAAGGAGCACAGGATGTGCAGGACTCTCTGTATGTGTAAGCTTAGGGCTCCAAGCCCAGTGACATTTCAGCTAACGCAGCATCATGGAGTGGTTTGGGTTGGAAGGGACCTTAAAGCTCATCCAGTTCCAACCCCCTGCCACAGGCAGGGACACCTTCCTCTAGACCAGGTTGCTCCAAGCCCCATCCACCCTGGCCTTGGACACTGCCAGGGATGGGGCAGCCACAGCTTCGCTGGGCACCCTGTGCCAGTGTCTATAAATCTCTGCACTATTTACAACCCACAAGAGCTCACAGTTTCCAGGGCGAGCACAGCTCCTGCTGGTTTGATGCGATGGAGCCATACCTTGTTGAGAAAGACCACAATGGAAGTCGCCTGTGCACTCTTAACTCAGCCACCTGGTGTGCAAGCTTCATAAAGCAAGCCAAGGGTTGTAGGTGGCACTTTCACACAAGATCACACCTCAGCCCATGCACAGGATGGAGGGATGGAGGCAGAGGCAGGGCAGACGTTCATTATTCCACAGGTAACAGCAAGAAACCCGAGCAGTCACATACCTGAGACACCAAACCCGATGATCAGGACAGTCACTACAGCCAGAATGGCAATGACTGTAATCAAGCTACATGGGGGAAAAAGAAAGGACAACATTACCATGCAGCCAACATCCTTCACGACTTACACCACTGGTGCAGGAAAGAGGTTGAAATGGGTAAGCCACAGCCATTGAGCGAGGTGGACTGACAAAGCCCACGACCACAGTAGTGGTGAACATTCAGGGGAGCACTCACCATCAAAGGTGGGACCATGCTGTAGGAGGTGACCCATGCTTTGCCTTTGAGAGGAGGTAGCTGGCCCCAATGCAGGATGCTCATTTCTGCATCCCTGGGGCATAAGCAAGTCCCTGGTGGTACTTGAGAGGGACCATTTGTGCAGGGAGGTGAGCAGAGCACTGAGACAGGCTTCTGACCCCGGGAGACACCCAGTGTGAGCCAGGGAGTGGGCAGGAGGAGGCTGGAAACAGGGCCAGCAGCACGCTCTTTCCCAACACATCTGGCAGCCTCCGCATGAGAGCCCATCCGTGCCTGTGCAACCACAAACTCCTCCCATGGTTACTGTGTGCCTGCATCAGCCACTTGCACAATGTCTGAGGAGTCACTGCAAATGTCACAATCACAGGGCTGAAATGGAGCCATGTGAGCAAACCTCTCCTGCAGGGAGCAGCAGGGAAGGGAGAAAGGGAAGATAGGTTGAAAGAGGGGATGGAGAGGAGCGGAGGTGGTGCAGAAGGCTTGCTTGCCCTCCCGCCGGCTCCCTTCCATCCTCATCCTTAAAGCCCGCAGTGGGTTCTCAGAGGAATCCCTGTCTGCACACACCAGCGTGCTCAGGAGGAGGGATCAAGTGCTCCCTGCATAGATGCCCTCAGAGCCCCTGATCTCACCAGCCTTTGCTTGCCACCAGGGTGGACAGCAGTGCTCTGCCTCCCAGTCACAGCCCACCATACCAGGGAGGAAAGGCCTAGACAACCTCCAGCCGCAGGCACTGGGCATCTGTGACCCATCCCCATGGACAACCATGTGCTTTCCTGTTCTGGGGAAGACACAAAGCCTCCTCCGTGTGCTGAATCACATCCGCCTCCTTGAGGAGCTCTACGGCGCTGATCCCAGGGCAAGAGAGTTGCTATAAACTCAGCCAAGGTTGCCATGAACAGCCCCAGCTCTCACGCCTGGGAAGCATGGAGCTAACACACAGAAGCTGTGACTTGCCTTCACCCCTCTAGATTCAGATCCTCCTTCCCAGGAATGGGCAGGAGGAAATAGCTGGGAGCTGAGGGATGCAGGCATTGCATCAGTGAATACCAGACAGGGTATGGCAGGAGACCAGGAGCCAGGATGCTTCCTGTGCAGTCCCTGGGTGCTTCAGTGCCACCACACTTGTCTCTGGTGCTCCAAAGGACCCTCTGGCCTGACCACCACCTCTGCTGAGCAAAACCATCTTCATCTTGCTCACAGACAAACACAGACCAGCACAAACGGGCTAGCACCAACGCTTTTGTCCCCCATGGCTATAGGCATCATGTGCCCCTGTAGCTGCAAAGCCGTGCTAGCTCTGCATCTGGAGAGCTGCTTCCACATCCTGGCTCAGGACAGCAACAGGGCTGATGTCAGTTCTGGGTGCACAGGTGTCACCATCCCCTTCAGCACCCCTCGCCAGGGATGAGGGGAAATCAGACCCTTTGGAGTGTCCTCTGCAGACACTGCAAGAGCCAAGAACCAAAGGGGTCTGAATTTGCCTGTGAGCCACCCATAGGTACTGAGTGGAGCACAGGGTGAACAAGAGGGTGCTGGCAACCCAGCCACATGCTGACAGGAGCTGTTTTGCAATGGGCTGGTCCAGCAGTTCAAGTAAACAGCAATTTCCCATGCATCAGCATCATACTTCCAGCGTTTCAGAGGCATGGAACAGATGGATGCAGACGGCTGGGGCTGCACGAGCTGGAGCCCTGCTGCTACCCTCAGTTCCCAGCACCGCTTCGGCAGCCTGTGGGATGCTGCTCCATGCATCCTATCCTCTTTTCCATGGTCCCATTCCTCATCAGCCAAACAGAATTGGGCATGAAATTCATTCATTCCCCACCTGAATGCTGCCAAGCACAGCCCAGGGACAGAGAGGCTTGTCACCCTGCTGTGACAGGCGGCAGAGGCATAATCCCTCTCATCTCTAGCTCCACTCAGAGTAAGCTTTGCTTCAGGAATGGGTTTGGAGGTGTGAAGACCAAAAAACCTGTAAGGAAGAGATTAAAGGTCCCCTACCTTCCTCCTTTTATCAAAGCTTACCATGGAAAAGAAATAACATGGCAGAGGCAACCCAAGAAGAAGGATTTCCATTCCAGTGAGCAGTTAATGATGGCAGAGCTCAGCTGTTCTCAGCACTCCAGCTTTATCTTGTTTAGTGTTTGGGGGGGGGGGGTATTTAGGTTGGGTTGGTCTGGTTTGGTCTGCAGGACCCCACTGCTTCCCCTGACCAGCTGCTGTCTGGCTGTGTGCAGCCACACACAGTGGACAGAGGTGCTGACAGAGCCAGGGGCTGGTTCTTGGTGCATATCCCTGGCAAAAGCAGCTGGGCTGCCTCTTGGGAACAACAGAGCTGGTTATTGCATGCATCCCAGCTGCATGAGGAATACGATGCCCAGTGAATATTCACACCGTGTTACATTATGCCCACTGGTGATCTCACTCTCCTCAGTGAAAGGGTGCAGATAATATCACTATTTAGTTCTATTTAGATCTTCCTTGATGCTCTGTGTGAGAAAGCTGGAGCACAGCTCACGCATGAGAGGTCTCTTCTGTTCACGTGCACTGTCCTTCTCCCCACCGCTGTTGAGCTCAGATGAGATGGATGCTCATCACAGCTGAAACCTTCCTGACAGAATGAGCACAAGCAGGGGTGTTCCACACACCTTGCTGGAGCTTCTGCCTCCATCCATCCCAGAAACAGCCCCGCTTGGGATGAAGGAAACAGCTTGTTGGTGTGTCTGTTCAAGCAGTCAAGGTTAGATGCAAACTTGATCTGTTCATTGGAGGCTGAAGCAAGTTTGCCACTTTACCCATCCGGTGGGGGTTATTTTCAATGAGTCAGGAGATAAGGATATGAGGCAGATATTTTTATGGCCTTCCCCTGATATTTCTTTTTCTGACTGTAGCTCACCAGGGCTTGGTCAATAGATCCAAAGGAAGCAGGCTCATTCAAATGAGAGGCACAAACCAGCTTGCACATCTTCCCAGCTCTTACTCCTGACCCACACATTGATATCCCAACCTACAACAGCAGGAACACAGAGCTTTTCTCAAGCCATTAATACCCTGACCTACCACAGCATTCAAACCCAAGGTAGTGGAATATAGCCACGCAATTTCTAGGACACACATCTCCATCCTGGCTGCAGTTGATGGCCTGCACACGGGGTTCTGATAGCTATATGGCCTTACTGACTGTATAAAAGAAGCCATAATGGTGTTCAGGTATCTTGGGTGAGCACAGTATGAGGCAAGCTGTAAAGAACTGCTGTCTTGAAAGCTCCTGATAGCAGGGTGAGACAGACAAGGAGTCTGGAAAATGCAATTCCCTCCCTCCTCTCTCCCAAAGCAGACACAGGTAATACCATACCTCCAGAAAACAACCTGGCCTTGGGATGCCATGGCCACCTCATCTATGAAGACAAGCCACACACCAGGTGCCCAAAGGTCCCACGCTGTTCAGCACGGCTCCTCTCCTTCACATGACACAGTCTCCCAGGCTGTCCTGCTTAAATAACTGAACTCAGCTAAGGAGTGGTGAGCCCAGGCAGTGAACTCTCAGGAATGAGGAAGCAATGGGAATCTCAGCTCCCCCCGACCAGAGCAGTCAAAAGCAGAGGTTTGGTTAGTCACTGGGGCAACAAGAGAGACCTCCCACACCTAAAGAAACGTGTCTGATTTAACACAGAAATGACACACCTCATGGTTTGGTGGGCAGCTAATTCTAGGGGCAGAGTGCCACTGCTGGGATCTGGCTTGACACTGCATTCCAAACGGTGCACCCCTTGTGAATCACCTGCCATGGGAAGGCCAAGAAGCCCTGCTGAGCCAGCTTCTGCACTGCTCCTGCGATCTTCTGGGGACAAGCAGGCACTCACTCACAGAGCTACAAGCACAGTGCGTCACCAGCGTGTTTTGCCTCCTCTGAGAAGGGAGAGATACCTAGAATGACACCCAGCTCCAGAGGCACCGGACATGGAGCTTTCCAGGCTCCAGGGCCCCTTCCAGGTCTTCCACAGTCTCTTGTTCTTGCTGTGTTTTCCTTACTCTAGGGAGTAAGTCCTTCTTTTCTGCCTCCCAGAGCCCCTCCTCATGTTCATCCCCATTTTATTTTTATTTCCCAAGCTTTGGAGACAGGCAGATTTATCAGAGGGAGCTTTTCTCCTGTGAAAAACATCAATAGTTACCAATAGTTATCAATAGTTAATGGAAATAGTTAATAGAAAAACATCAATAGGTGCAGTTCTGTCAGCACTGCCTGTCTGTCTTGAAAACACCTTAGTTATCTCAAGGACCAGGTGGTCAGAAACAACACCACATAGCTCAGCAGACTAACAGCACTTCCATACCCACTGCCTGCCCAAGGCTGTTATCAACCAAGCACTGGAAGCGAGAATCCAGCACATTAGCAGGATATATTCATTTGGCAAACCATTCTGAGCAATGAACACTGAGGGCAAAGTCTGCTTGCAAATTATGGGAAGACACTCGCACCTAACCCCACAAAGTAATCTGCATGCGGTTCTGCAAGCTGTCCTTGTGTGCAGCACAAACACAGCGGTAGCCAGTCAGTCCTATATACCCCTGGGACTGCCTGAGCCTTCAAGTCTAACAAAAATCATCCAAGAGACTGGCCCTGGCAGGATTAGTAGCCCATGCTGTCTGAAACTGCTCTTCTCATGTCAAACACAGGGCTCAGCACAAGTTGACCTCGGCTCCCTGAAGGGTTTCTATGTTTGCTGGTGTATTTCTCACAAAGAGCTCCTTGGTCAATGTCAGCACCAAGGTGTGTAAGGGATGCCTCACACAGATGGAAAACACATTCCCCTGTCTGAGCTAAGATGTTTTTAGACAGAAAGAATGCACTAGAAGGTAGTGCTATTCTTACATGTTCCCTCTGCAATACAGCATGGGAGCTCCAAGAAAGAACACCGCACATGTGGGGGGCAAGAAACAGAAAGACGCAGAAAATGAGGCATTTCAAGTTACATCCCATTCTGTACTGAGCACTGACTACACACATAGCAAGGAGAAAAATGAGTTCTTGTTTGTTCCATTAAAGGTTTACTCCCATTCAACTTTCACTTTGAAAAGTCAGAGTCAGCACTTCAGAACACTATTGCCTAACCTGGAGAGTTAAACTGCCCAACCTTCTCCCGTTTGTTTGACAGCCCTTTCTGGATGATTAATGGAAAGCTATAAATAGCATTTGCATAAGGATATATATCTCCTTTGCTGGGCACAAGAGGTTCCAAAACCGGCTTTGCAACAACAAACAACAAATGAGTCTTCTAGGTGGGAGCAAGCAGACAGCACATGTTTCTACTATTTATCAGCCAGACACCTTCAGCCATAAAGCAAGAACTAGTCCTTACTGTTGACACTGGAGCAGCATTCTTCTCCCCAAGTGACCAACAGTCAG